ACTCTGCCCTTATAGTGAGAAAGTGGCCATAGATTATATGTAACGAATGAGTGAGGCTGTGTTCCAATAAAACTTTATTTACAAAACAGTAGCAGGCCAGATTCAGCCCACAGTCTGAGGTCCCTACACTATAATAGTTTGATTGCAAGGGCGAACTAACTGATGCCCAAGGCAGGGATTTGAACCTCATCTCCTGACAGCAAGTGTGCTTCTACCACACAACGCTGCTCACTTAACTGTGACTCTTGCCCTAAACTGAACTGTGGGCATCTGAGGACTACACGGTTGATGGAATGATGCCTAGAAAAGGCACGCAATCCACTTCTCTCTCAGGAGATCAGGTTTCCTCCAGGTTCTTACAGGGCTATTTAAAGCCCCCAAACATGCCTCCTGTGAGCGTGCTGTCTGTAAATTCCCCAGAACTGGTATGACTGCAATGTGCCACATTCTGTCCCACTGCAACCTGACAGCTGTGCCAGGGAGAAGAATCACACCAGGCCAGATCTGCACCTCCACCCCCACTTGGGCCATGGCTGGGATTCCCCGAATGAAATTTCAGATGGAGGACAAACCCTGCCTGGGCCCTCTGGGGTCAGTCACCTTGTTAATTCCAGGAGGATGAGGGAGCTTCTTGAATTCTATATACCAGAACTCTGAGGTCCACAGTGGGAAGTGTGAAGGGTAAGAAATAAAACCACAAATGGGCAGCCTGGTCCCCTTCATCAGTGGAGGGGGACCCCTGGAATTGTCTAGCTCTCCTTTTCTTCTCAGCACTCTCCTTGTCTTCATCTTGAGATCTTTACTTAGGGAGCCCCTGTGGCTTCCCTAGCAAGTCCTTAATATAATTAACTTGGAGATAACCCTCCAGAATTCATGGAGAAGCAGCGGAGAGCAATGGTAAGGAACTTAGGTTTGAAGGCAAGTCAAACTGAATAAATAAATAGACTCTGCTAAGCCTTATTTTATTCCTCTGTACAATGGGGATAATGTCAGTGTCTACTGAGTCATGGTGAGTGCTCAGTATTGAATAGCATTTGATTATAACTGTTAAGCATTTGCTATGTGTTTGTTGCTGGGACTGTCATGCAAAAGACAGTCCCAGATCTCAGGATTCACAGATACACAGAAAAGACATTTCAATAAGTGTAGTAAAATCATCTAAAAGCTCAGACTGAGTGGGTGGTAGTAACCCAAAGACAGAAGGGAGCGAGAAGGGGGGATGTGGCAGGGAGTTTCTGTAGGGAGATGATGCTGAGCTGGTCTCTTTTAGGAAGAGGGAATAGCAGAGTGGTCTTTTGGAGCCTCAGTTTTTGCATCTGTCCAACAGTGAAAATGTTTCCACTGTCCACCTCCTGGGCTACCATCAGGGTCAAGAGAAGCCACAGGAGAGAAACTCAGGGCTGGAAGGGTCTTCAGAGAAGAGTTTAGTGGTCACTGTCTGTCTGATGAATCTTCCTATTACACAGGTTTCTTCTTGTGCAGAGTAAGCCCCAGTGCATGACTGCTAAGTGAGAAGATGCAGGGTTAGTTGCCATGGAGAGAGGTTGCCCAGCCTCTGTGTGAAGCACTCTGTGGATGCTCAATGTCCCTGACGCTAGACTGAAATGAATACAATTGGTGAACATCAAGATGATCCTCAAAGTTAAACCTTTATGAGAATATATGTTCTCACATCACAGAAGCCAGGACCAGGACATGGGAATTCTGCTTCCATATCCAGATCCATTTCTACTCTGGCACCATGTGCTGGGATATTTATTGGAGGTTGGAATTTACCTAGGAGTCTATAGTGGAGGGCAGGGTAGAGATGGGGAAGGAGAAGCTGAGATGGACATAACACATCTCTGGAGGACTTTTCACAAAGATACTTGCCAGGGGGTGGGTGGGGGAGGTTTTATATATACATAGGACTATAACAAAAAGTTTGTATAGCTTTTATAAGATAAAATGAGACACTTTATGCTTTCATAAAGGTATTTCTGGTAGTATATCCAAACCCTAAAGTTCCACCTGGGTGAAAGTGTGAGATGTAGAACTAGAATAAGCAGCAGGGAACCGTGGAAGGTGCTGGAGCAGTGTGATGGGTCACAACAAAAGCCGGGCATGAGAAGAGTGGTTATCAGCCCTGTGAGAACCTCAGGGTCACCTGGGAATTTGCAAAAAATGAAAGATTTTCAAACCTCATTCCAGACTCACTGATCAGATCTTTGTGGGTGTATTTTGAGAAGACTCCACAGGGGTTGATTCTGTGGATTTGAGACCCACTGTTTCGACTAACAGGGAGTGGTCCTCAAGGCAAGCTGGAGAAGGCAAGAGCAGAAACAGGAAGCTCCTATCGGAGGTGACAGGATATAGAAGCAGCAGCTATCCAGGATGCATTTCCCAATCATAATCAACAGGATTTGGGATTTGATTGTATAAAGGATGAAGGCAAAGGAAATGATGGATAAAGATGAAGACTATGCTTCTGTTCCTAAAATGAGAACCAGGGAAGTGGAGAATCCTGGAGCTGTAAATGGCCATAGCCAATGTCCACTCTGTGAATTGTGTACTCTGGTTTTCATTCATTCATCATCTCAGCAGACAGGTATTGAGCACCTACTATGTGCTAAGCATTAGACTAGGAGCTGGGGGAACAGTAGTGAGTGAGGAAAGAAAGGGTCTGCTCTCATAGTGCTGCCTTAGCAGCTAATTTAACCCCACTGCTCACTGTAATTGTGAAAATGCAACCAATGAGAAGTACTAGGAGCTCTGAGCATCTATCACGCGGAAGAGGTAGCTTGGAAGGTTGGGAAATGTCTTGAGGAAGTAATGTCTGAGCAGAAAGCTAAGAATGTGCAGAGGTAAACCAGGTGCAGGCACAAAGTATTCAAAGCTGGAAGGAGCAAGGCCAGGACAAGAGGTAGAATGGGCAGTTGGTAAAGTGGGCAGAGCGCAGACAGGCAGCCCTGAGGGCCACCACAAGGACAGCAGTTGGTATCTTACAAACAATGCAAAACCACTGAAGGGTTTAAGCATGATTAGATCAATAGTTTTAAGTAGCTGTCCTTAATTACAGAGGCCCTCTTCTCCCCAGACTCCATAATATAGTGTACATCTGAATAAAAGAGGAAGGCTTTAGGTTGAACATAAACTCTGACAAGTCTTGTGTCAAAGGACATGGTTATGGACACCTCTTGAAAGTTAGATGATGATAATTCTTAACCTGCATATTAGTGGGGTCCACAGGAGCCATTCTGTGGCTTCCCTGACCTTTGGCCGCTCAACCTTTGCTTCATTACATCCTTGGGCAACTCCTATTCTATCACTCAACATCCTAGTCATTTGTGTGCTTCTTCTAGGTAAAGCCCAAATTGGACTCTGTTTAACCTTGCACAGTCATCTGGAGAGACTTCCTATTACCTCTTCTATAGGACAGCTAGTTTGAGAACTGATCCCATGTTCCCCCTCCAAATTCAATCTTATTCACAAACACCCCCATTTCCTTCAATAACTCCTCACGTGGTTGAGTTGTTAACATAAAAAAAGAAACAGGAAAGGGTCATCTGATTTGGTGGTAAGATGAGTTCAAAATTGGGTCACTCTGAGGTTGAGTTAACCTGTGAATGGAAATGTACCACAGGTGGGCGGTCATGTGGGAACAGAGCCCGGGTCATGGCTGACAGTGGACTTTTGAGACTCACCCTCACAAAGGGGGTTGGCTGCTCACAGGAGCGTGTGTAGACCGAGGGTGGAGGTGGTGGGGAGTTCAGGGGAGAAGCGGCAAGAGACATTAAAGAAGGTAGAGCAAGAAGACAGAGCGACAGAGTGAGTGAGAAGATCCAGCAAGTGGGAGAAGATGGGAAATAATTAGGAAGCACTGGGTGAATATTACTGTAATTCAATCTCTCAGCTCTGGATGTCATTATTCCTGCTTTACAGACTGAGCAAAGTACTTAGCTGGGTAACTGGTCTTAGGGGAGGAAAGGCCCAGAGGCTGTGAGCACCTATAACAGTGGAATGAGCAGGGAGAGAGCAGAACAGGTTTCTTGGAGGGATGGGTGGTGGTTACTTAATCTAGACTTTCAACTCCAAAATCTATGCTTTCCCCATCTGTACAACTCCAACATCTGTGCTTTCCCCATCTGTACAACTCCAACATCCATGCTTTCCCCATCTGTACGACGCCAAAATCCATGCTTTCCCCATCTGCACTAAATAAGAAAATACATCAGAAAAAAAATACAGGATCAATAGAGCTACAGAGAAGTCCAGGAGATGAGAGTTAGTAGAGGCGAAAGCTTGGACTTCGGTCCTATGGAAGTGGAAGGCATTTGTGGGGCTCTCAGCTGAGGGTGTGACCGGAAGTTAGGCTGCAGGAGGTGAGAGGGGCATGTGAGAAGGAGCAGGAGGCTGTGAGTGCCAAGTTTGGCCAGAAAGGGAAGGAGGGAAATGTTTGGGGTAATGGGCACACAGATGGGTTGACTTTTTGGTTAGTTGCAAGTGTTTTGTTTTTTTTTCTTCTTTCTTTCTTTTTTGTTTCCCTTTTTCTTTGAAGAGTAAGAAGGGCAATGAGAAGCTGATGATATCCACAAACAGGATTGTTTTTCTGGACCAAAGATGAAAATGGAGTAATGATAGGTTCTTGGCAGAGGGTGGGGAGGGAGGAACTTACTTGGCAGGATGCTCACCCTGGGAAAAGGGGGGTTTGAAAGTGATATTTGAGGGAGAGGCAGACAGAGCACGGATGGAAATGGAGAAGGCCGACAGCAGGAAGGTTGAGGTGGACAAGGAAATGAAACCAGTGCCAGTGACCAGCAGAAGTCTCTACACGAACAGGTTAAGCCTACATCGTAGGCCCCCACATGACTATGAATACTTACATCCACTGCAGAATGTGGCTAACATACAAATACCAAACGATACTTATTGCCTTTTCCTATGCCATTCCAAAGGAAGGAAAATTAAGTAATCTGTCCCAAATCATACAGCTAGAAAGTTGCAGTAAAAACTCACACCTAGTGCTCACTTCGGCAGCACAAGTACTATAATTGAATGATACAGAGAAGATTAGTATGGCCCCTGCACAAGGATGATACGCAAATTCGTGACGTGTTCCATATTTTTTTTTTACAACTTTTATGTTTACCTGGATGGAGCTGAAACATGTTCTTCTTAGTAAACTATCTCAAGAATGGAAAAAAAAGTATCCAATGTACTCAATACTATTATGAAACCAATATATAAATAGTTACACATTCATAGGAATGATAAAATACAAAGGTAGTCCAGAAAGAAAGAGGGGAAAGGAGGGAAGGGGAGGGGAGGGGGGTGGAGGGAGGGCATTTGGTGGGACTCCCACTTAATGTGCACAATGCAAGGGTACATTTCAAAACAACTAAGAGTATATTATAAACGTCTTCCCACCAAACTAAGCAAGGTGTTGGTTATGATGTTTAGTTTGATTTAACCATTCCACATTGTATATCAAATCATCACATTGTACTCTATAAATGTATACAGTTATGATTTAATAAAAATTAAGGTAAAAACAACTCAAACCTAATTCTGTCCATTCTCTGAACCACTCAGCTCTACTGAGTCTTCAGGCTGGCAAAGATGACCTCATAGAACAGGTTTAGATGGAAAAGATGAATAGAATGTGGATAAGTGTTCTATTCAAAAGAGGATTACTGATAGAAGGAGTAGGGAATGAACTTGGATATCAGGGAAGAGTTATGTCTACATGAGAACTCACAGCCTTGAGGACAAAACGTTGGTGGTGAGTCATGAGAGGAAGAGTTTGGCCAATGGAAGGTAGAGGGAACATATGGCCTTCTTCAGCTGGATCTCAAAGCTGGTCCAACAAAGGCAAGACACGTGAACTCTTGCATCATCTCATGACTAAAGATCTTCCATCATCTCAGGACTAAAAATTTCCTTCAATGAAAAACAGCATGAGATTTTTTTCTTGAGTTTCCCAGTAGACCATATAACATCCCCATGAATAGAGAATGTAGCAAAAGAAACCCTCGGCTTGGGCTGAATTCAACTACAGTAGTTGAAAAAGAATTAGTTGTGAAGTAGAAAGGAAAGAAACCTTGGGAAAATCAATCTCTTCACTGAACCAGGGAAATCAGACAGCATCTTAGATATTAAGAAGGCAAATTTTAGGCTCCGTGCCCATAGCTCAGTGAGTAGGGTGCCAGTCACATACACTGAGGATGGCAGGATTGAACCCAGCCTGGGCCTGCTAAACAACAATGACAACTGTAACCAAAAAATAGCTGGGTGTTGTGGCAGGCGCCTATAGTCCCAGTTACTTGGGAAGCTGAGGCAAGAAAATCACATAAGCCCAAGAGTTTGAGGTTGCTGTGAGCTGTGATGCCACAGCACTCTACCAAGGGTGACATAGTGAGACTCTCACCCCCCCCAAAAAAGCAAATTTAAAAAATCGGAGAAAATTTAGCTCAAAGACTTTAAAGATAAAATGGTTCAAGAAGAATAGAAAGTTCCATCCATGTGAACATGAAGGAGGTAAAGTCTCCATCTTTCTTTAGGGCTGCATAGTATTCCATTGTGTACATATACCACAGTTTATTGATCCATTTGTGGATCGATGGGCACTTGGGCTTCTTCCATGACCTGGCAATTATGAATTGGGCTGCAA